TTTTTTTTTTTTCTTTGCTTTTTATAATATTAAAAAAGAAAAGAAAAAAAATTTTAAATTCGTAATTTTAAACCAATTTGTTTCAAACTTTGTGCAGAATTTGGATAATACTATTCTACAAACGAAAAAAATGTTTCATGCGATTATCTTTAAAAATGACGAAGTTTTTTAAATGTTTTATTAAAAATTTGAGTATTTTTTGAAAAAACGTAAAAAAAAAGTTTTTGGCATTTATTTTTTTAAATGACTGATTCTAAAAAGAAAAGCCTAAACTTTCTTAGTGCAAAATATTGATTCATTAACAAGAAAAAAATTCATATAGATCGATTTAGAAATCATTTTCATGAGAACGCATCGATTTTGACTCATTTTAGAAAAAATCGTAAGAAATAGAAAATATTATTTTTTTAAAAAAAAAAATTATACGTGGCGAAATAAATGATCTTTCCGATTATGTAATTATTTTTTGTCTCAGTTTGATATAGAAAAATAAGGTGGATTTTTAAAAGAGGCCGAAAAATCGGATTTCTTTGAGCTCAATCCGATTAGTTGCTCGGCAGAATAAAAAGCTAACAGGGGTAAAAGATTTTTAATTGATATATTTTTAACTAATTGCGATATCGGAACATAAATGGTCCAAACATGCATTGTCATCCAAACTAAACGTGTATACAAAATTTCAGCTCAATCGGTCGAAGACATCAGCTTCAAAATTGAGTTGCAAGATTCCACCCGAACATTTTACATATATTGCAAGTTAAATAAAAGCTTGTTATATAACATACTTTGTACATACACAGAGGGGAAGTATTGTAAAATATCTCGTTGTACCAAATCAAACGAATTTCAAAAATATTTTACAAGAAAAAATATTAATTGGAGGCGCGAGGTATCGATCCCCGTACCTCTCGCAAGCTAAGCGACGCTCTACCATTGAGCTACGCTCCCGGTCGACACCGGTGTTATTGTAAGCATCCTCGCATTAACACCTTAACAAGAACGTTATAGTAGCTGGGTCAATATCGGAATGTAAAGTCAAGAAATGCATTGGCATCCAAACTAAACGTGTATACAAAATTTCAGCTCAATCGGTTAGAAGACTTTAGCTTCAAAATTGAGTTGCAAGATTCCACCCGAACAAATTACTTTAATTAATATATTTTTAATTAAATGCGATATCGGAATATAAGCAGGCAAAACATGTATTGTCATCCTAACTAAGCGTGTATACAAAATTTCAGCTCATTAGGTTGAAGAAAGACATCAGCTTCAAAATTGAGTTGCAAGATTCCACCCGAACATTTTACATTGCAAGTTAAATAAAAGCTTGTAAAAAAAGGTTAACTTATTTCACAGCGTTTCAAGATGACTAGCTTTAAAACTCGAGAACATTCCCCCCCCCCTTTCCTCCTTCGCAATACAAACTAAATTTTTTGATAAACCTTTGGTACCATGAAAAAATTTATTTCCAAGATCTTTTTCTCTTTCAGGATATTTTAATAACATTTATTTCACTCGCAAAGAGTAGGTTGCATGGGAGTTTTGTATGGGCATAAGAAAGAAAATGACAAGATGAATCGGGCATCGGCATTCCAGAACAAATTCTTCAGTTCCAATTCTATCAGAAAATGGAAGAATATTCCACGATAGTATTTCCCAGAATAACTTAAGAAAAGGAATAAAAACGTGCTAAATATAAGGGGGAAAAGTAATATCAATAGAAACAAAAATTTCGTTCTTGTGCAACTGATGATGGAATTTGAGATCCAAATCGATTTTTTTTCCTTCAAAGTTTTATTTCCTTTATTCCTTTTTTTTTACTACTTGACATTTCTGGTACTGAAATGTTCTGACGAGACATATTCTACAGTGTAGGTTGATATCGTGTTAAAAAGGATTGGCCAGATTCTGCGAAACATGCATAATCGCCTCGTACCAAAATTCTACAAAGGGACCATTTCAATATCTAAAATGTATTCAAAACTGTCTTTACAATTAACTAATAAATATATATATATATATATATATATATCCTTCTTCCTGAAGTAGTTTTATTTTGTTAGTGGAATACTTGATCTACCAATATATTCTGTCAAATGATCATTTAATCGTCTGTTTAGTTAAACCGTTCTTTTCTGTTTATTCCCATAACGAATTTAATTTTTCGAAAATGTTTTACAGAATTTACCTGAAAAAATTCCCATTAAATTCTTGTTTGATTAATTATGTACATTTATTGATATAAGTTGAATAATAATACATATTTGCTCTAAAACAATAAATTGAATGGAATTTATATTGCAGAATATTGCATTAACATCATCATTCACAATTATAATTAAGTTTCTGAATTAGCTAGTACCAAAGATCGAATTAACAAAAGCAAAGAGAACGTTTTACTCTGAAAACATATATTAATATAGCTTTATATATATACAGTCGGACCTTGATTTAACGAATTCCTATTTAACAAATATTTCTCTTTCCCCAGTTAAAATAAAGGTAAAAACTCATTTAACGAATAATAAACCCCGAATTAACGAATTATTTTAGTAGATGGAAAAAATTTCAACAGTTTGTTTTAGAAAAAAAAAAATTTCGAAAGACATATTTTTTTTTGTCCGGAACAGATAAAGACTTCTTGTAAGCAGCAAATTTCAACGGGAAAGAATGAGGCCATTATTAAACTTTACAGAGGAGTGTCAGATGCGGCATATGAGTCATGAGTGTAACCTATCGAGTGAATCTTGAATAGGACAGGAAATTCCTTTTTTTTTTATCTCATCCCAATCCACAACGCTGGGGATATTTTAATATTTTAACGATTATGAAACATTAGATGACAGACTGCCTAACTGTGCAACTGAAGTCGAGGAAATTGTTGATTTGTCGGGGCCAATGAATAACAATTCTAATGCAGAAATTGATAAAGGAGCTCCTTTTAAACCTGTTACATTTTCTAATGTTTTGCATAGTTTAGAATCTATGAGAACTTACTTCTCTCTTATGCAACAGAATGTAAATGACGCAATATATTCTTCTCTGTTAAGAGTCGAAAAATAACCCTTTCCAGTCAGGAATCAAAAAGACTTTAAAACATCTATTAGTCAGTATTTTAAAATTTCTAATTATAACTGGTGCGTAATAATTCACAAATAGTACTCTTAGATGTTGATTAAAATGTGTGCAGTTTCTAAATATGGATATTTTTGTGTAGTTCCTTATAACATTTACAAAAGGTAACTGCGAAATATTTGTATTTTTTCCCTTCCCGATATAACGAATAACGCCGAATTAACGAACAAAATGTTCGTTCTCTATGAATTCCTTAAGTTGGGATCCGAATGTATATGTCGCAGGGAAATGATGAAATTAGGGAAAGAGATAAGATCACAATTCACGGAAGATGTTAAAGTGGTGGCCAAAATTATGGACACTTTTTTTAAATTGTTAGTTTTTTAAGTTTGTATCCTTATAGAAAATTTTACATTGCACAAAATACTAACTATTTTATATCATTTTAAAGAAAATTCAATACTGAATTTAATACAAGAACGAAAATTCAAATATTTACAGCGCAAAAAAAGTCATCTGCAATAACTTTCGATATACATCAGATACTGATGATAGCAGTGAGTTATGAGAGTTTAGGGAGGTTGCCTTTATTCTTTATTACAGTTTCCTATCGATGTTTCATTGAGTTGGAAATAGTTTTAAGCTCTTCCTTCGTTATTACATGATGCCAGGAAACAATTATATCCTCTATTAGTTTCTTTTTATTTCATGGGTACCTCGTTCGGACAAGAGTTTTCAAACGGTGCCACAAGTTTTCGATAGGATCGGGGTCAGGGCTGTTTTCTGGCCAGGACAACAACTCAATGATCTTCAACGGTACCAGTCTTTCAATTACTTTAATGTGTAGCAAGGAACGGAATCTTGCTGAAAAATAAATGAAGCATTGTTGAGAAATAAATCCCTAAAGGAAGGCAGAAGCTTGGGTTCTAGAATGGTATCAATGCATTTTATGACATTCAGTGTCCCATTGATGATATGAAGGGGACCAATACCATCTGCTGATATGCATGACTAAAGGATAAAACTATGTGGATATACAGTTGCCGGGATGCATCAGGATGTAGCATGTCTGCTGTTTTTAACATTTAATATTTTAGGCTATCCCCACCAAATAACAATATTTTAAGTTTCGTCCCTCTATAAAACGGGAACCAATAATCTTTTTGCCCAAATTTAAAAATGTTCCTTTTCCCCCACTTTAGTCTCTTTAGTGTTGTTGTAAAATTGAGATACGGTTTTTTTCATGGAATTTAATTTTTTAATCTTACATCTGCTAATCTACTCTTGATTGTTTGTGAACTGACAGAAACACCAGCATCACTCAGTTCACTTCTTATGGTCCATGAAATTCTTTTATCTCTGAAACATAGTATTTTTTTCTTTTTGTCATCAACAGATGTGTTCACCATTTTTTGGCCTTTTTGCTTTTTTTTTAAATTTATCTCCCCGACATCTTAAACAAAAAATTTCAGTCTCCCGATGTAGTTACTGAAATACCCACCCGTTATCCCAAATTTTTAAAAAAGGGAAAAACCACTTTCTCGTCAGACATATGTTTAATCTACTTTTTATTTTTGCCATTGCTTTTTACTAAGGTCATTGTTATCCCGGCCAGGAAACAGTCCGACCTCAATCCAACCCAAAACTTGTGGGACCGTTTGAAAAATCCCGTCCGAATGGGGGTACCCATGAAATAAAAAAAAAACTAATTTAGGGGGTATAATTGTTTTCCCCCCATCTTTTAATAACGAAAAAAAGAGCTTAAAAACCCTTCTCATATCAATGAAACATCGATGGGAAAGAAAAAGGCAATACTTTTTCTATAATAAATGCATATCATCCGTATATGCATTTGTGGGGTACTTTTTTTGAAATATTTAAATTTTTTGTTTTTTCATTAAATTCAGTATATTGAATTTTTTAAAAAGATATAAAATACTTAGCATTTTTTTGCAACGTAAGATTTTTTTATAAGGATACAAATTTAAAAAAAATAACAATTTAAAAAAAATGTCCACAATTTTGAAACCCCTGTATATATATATATATATTTTTTTCCAATTATTTTTTGCACCAAAAAATTACCGGGGGCTTCCAAAAGAACAACAATTGGCCCTTTAGCTTCGATCTACTAGCATTTGACTAAATTGATTTACATTGCTTAAAAATTCAAAGAATATATTAATAGTTTTTTATATATATATATATATATATATATATATATATATATATATATATATATATATATATATATATATATATATATAAATCAATTAACAATAACACTTTAATTCGCATAATCTACCAACAGCTTATTTACCCCCAAAGGGGCTATAGATTTAGAGGATCTACAAGAAATTGAATAAATTTCTTTATCGAAAAAAAGGCAATTCGAACGTTAACAACTCTACTTCAACCCTGTTTAAGGTTAAACATCTATATGTTATTTGACGATGGGGAACAGATCAGTAACAGTAAAGTATGTTGTTTTTTTTGGAGAATAAAATCAACTTGAATCCATTCCGTGACTTTTATCAAAATCTGGTGCACTCAATATGCGGGAATACAGTGAGAGAAGAACGATATGGATCGAAAATTTTAAGCTTTTTTATGTCAAAAAAAAATAGCTTTAAAAAGATCATTAGGGGAATTCTGGAAACACCTGAAAAGATCTGAAAAATGAAAGAAATTTTATTAAAAATTTTAAAATGTGTTAGTGAACAAAATTTTAGTGCATATCCCTAAGGTAGATAGAGTTCTTTAGATGGAAATAATATTCTGGGGATCGCGCGTATTAAATTTAAAATAATTTATACCAAATTTTTACCTCAGTTGGAATTATAAAAAAATTGGTTCCCAAATGCTCTTCAAAC